GGAAACTTCAATAATGTTCTTCGCCTTTATTGATAGATGTAAATGGAAATAATTTGTGCATAATGAAAAAAATGATGATAATAAAAATATAATAATAATGCATAGCATATGACCACGGACAAAGGCAAAATGCCAATTTGGCTAATAAAAAAATCGAAGAATCTCAAATATTAATTTGCATAACAAATAAAAACATTCATTTTTGTATTACATAAATATTTACATGAATTGTTACTGCGAAAAAGGCTCACTGTCATCCTCTGTTAAAATCTTGTTTGTAAACTTTATAAGTCGGACGCAGCAATCAATTGTTTAAAGTACTTGATCATATAAATAAATACCGAATATATTACCAAGAATTACACAATTTTATAACCGTCCATCAGTTATCTTTGCTTTTTTCTTAAGTGTATATAAATAATTAACATGAATTCATTTACATCAGATCTGTAGCCCAAGAATTATAGTACTATCAAAAGCATTTTAAAAAAGGAACAAGGTGAGAAAATTTCTCCTTATGTTTTCAAAATAAATGATGCTCATACACATACACTGGAAGCATATCTAAGAAATGAAAGGTTTACCTATGAAATTTACCAACAAGAAAGAAAAACCATAATCAGTAAAAGAATTTTACTACAAAACCATGAAAAATTTAGAAAGAAAATTGGAACTTAACACAGATGAGCATGTTTTTGTTATCTTTTAAAGGTTAAAGATGTTAAAAATATATTTGGTAAAAAAGAATTAGTGCGAGTTGGTTTGGTTTACTTCAATTATTTGCTCTTGTTTCTTTTTAGGTGAATATTCTTGCTTGTCTTTTTTGTAAACTGTTGTAGTTTATCTTTTTCCTTGTCAATGCTGGTAAATGCTTTGCTGGCTAAATATAGTTTTTGTTTTTAGTTGCTGAATTTCTTGGGCTTGTTGACTTATCTCAACTGTTTCTAATTGCTCTAATTTCTCAGCTAATTGTCTTTCTCTTCATTATAGGACCACTTCCTCGACTAAGTCTACTATTGTACCTTGTCGGCTTTGTCGACCAATACAAATTAAATAACACGCACGTCGTAACGAAATAAATAAATAAGATAATGTCAATAAGAGATGTCAACATTTTCGGGTAATATTATTATTCAAAGAAATATTATTATTATGACAAATAATAATATTGCTACAACTCGGAATCTTTATTTTCCTTATTTTCCAGATTCAAAAAGGGTGATATGGTACCATTTACATTTATTCAATAAAATTTGAGCTATATTTGATTTTTTTCGATTTTGGATTTTGATTATAGTCGAAAGTTTTAAGATTCGAAGCAAATAATGATGCCCGACGAAATGTTTTGTGAACAGGAAATAATTTTGTCACATTTGGCGAAATTGACGAAATAGTAATAGTAATGGAAAATCTGACGAAAAGTGAAAAAATGTACGGAGAAAATAAAAATAATAAAAAACTTATATATGCGCTCTTAAATTTATATTTATTTGTTCATTTAAGATCCTCCATTAAAATGTCGGATGATAGTCAGCTTCAATTTGTAAATGCTAACCCAAATGTCGAAGATAATTTGTCCTCCTCTAACTAGGAAGACCATAGGTACAAAAATAAGAAACATCTTTTCCAAAAAGGTAATGAATTATTCAGAATATCAAACATACATACAGTGAAACCTTGTTCCGATGAATCTAGTTTCAATTATAATTCAATTCGCATTTCAACGAATCTTAAACGAAATTTTCTTATGTGTCCAGTAATTATGTATGACGAAACTTTTTACGAATTTCGATTGTTAAATAAGCTTTTTTTTCCTAATTAAAAAAAGAGATCTTTTTGTCCTGATATTTTCCTCGTGTTTATTTATTTATCCCGGATTAAAGGTCAATTGGATCAATTGTATTTTTTCTCCAAGTCTATTGCTATAGGAGAATAAACTTCATGCAAACATCAAAAGCTATTTACAAATTTCGTTTGTTAAAAAAAACCCCCCTTTGCAAAGATTAATCAATGTATTTTATTTGTTTTCTTCGAAAGGAAATTAAAAATTAGAAACCTTACCTATCCGCTATCTCCCAATGGTCAAAATCAAAAAAAATTTGTACATAATGTTTGTTTATCTACCATTGAATTGAAATTGACCAATAATAACAATAACAACGAAATATTTATTTTGAATCCCGGACTCGAAAATATACTAACGCTAACACGACAAGTATTTGACGATCTGGGATCTGAGGTAAAGGTTCCACAGGTTTTTGGTCATTTCATTTGGTCCAAAACGTCAGAGCAATACGAAGACCTAATGGTAGACAGCGGTAGACGCCATGCAAAAAACATTCTAAAAGAACGATTTCTTTTCAGTCAAGTATTTGCTTTTCTCAACCCTGACATTTTGAACAAAAATAGATAAATCCAAATAAGATATAAATGGGAATTCGCATGATATTGTGATATAAAAATAATCACAACTATTTATCATTTCTGGAAAACGAAAATATTTTCAAATTTCAATTTTAACAAATTTAATTCCAAATCAGCGTAGAAAAAAACTCCTTTGATTTTGGTTTCATCTTTTCCCAACAATTCAGTTTACTAAATTTGAGCAACAAAATGCTTAGAAGATTCATGATTCGTTGCCGTAATTGCACTGAATTTATCATTTCAAGTCTCAACGAGTCTTCATTACATCTCATATTGTTAGGTTATATTACTATTACACAAAATATAAAAATCTACACAAAAATTACGAGATTTAGAAAGAAACCGTAATACATGAACCTTTCTTTTATACTATTACCAGAAAGAAAGAAATTTGTATATAAAATTAATGGTGAAATGCGTAATAATGCTAGTGCTAATTGTGATAGAGAAAGTAGAAAAGATTATTTTTTTTCATTAGTCAAAAAAAAAAGGGAGCTTTCCGAAAATGAAAAAGAATATTGTAAGGAAAGATTTATTATGATTTTGAATTAGATAATGCAACATATAAATTGGGAAAACCAAAAGAATGTAACAAGTGTAAATTGACAAGATACTCTGATAGGTTCTGTGAAGGTTGTATTAGTTTACA